GACCATATGTACAAAAATACTTATAGCAGCTCTTTTTGTGGTGTCAAAGAATTGGAATTTGAGGGGATGTCCATCAATTGGGGAATGGCTGAACAAGTTGTGGTATGTGAATGGAATGGAATACTATTGAGCTATAAGAAAGCTATAAGCAGGCAGATTTCAGAAAAACCTGGAAAGACATATAAACTAATACTAAGTGAAGTGAGCAGAACCAGGAGAACATTGTACATAGTAACAGCAACATTGTGTGATGACCAATTTTGATAGACTTAGCTCTTCTCAGCAATACAATGATCTAAGACAATTCCAAAAGATTCATGATGGAAAATATTATCCATATCCAGAGAAAGAAATATGGAGTCTGAATGCAGATCAAAACATAACTATTTTCTTTTTTGTTTGTTTTTTTCTTTCTCGTGGTTTTTCTCTTTGGTTCTGATTCGTCTTTCACTACATGACTAATGTGGAAATATGTTGAATATGATTGTACATGTATAGCTTACCTCAGATTGTTTGCTGTCTGGGGGAGGGGGAAGGGAGAAAAAAATTTAGAACTCAAAACCATATAAAAGTGAATGTTCAAAACTATCTTTGCACGTAATTGGAAAAAATAAAATGCTATTTACAAAAAAAAGAAAGAAACAAAAGTATTCTTTCCAGTCCTCAATTTCCTCATCTATAAATTGAATGGTTGTCTTGGCTGGTTTCTAATGTCCCTTCCACCTATAAAGCTACATTTCTATGGTCCCTCAGCTCCCAAGCAAATACATAAGCAAACAGTATATTAACTATAGAAGCAATTTGATTTAACTCTACAGAAAATGGAAAATATTTTCACCAGAGCTTATAAACCATCCAAACAAATCTTCTTACCTCTCTAATGGACCTCTGGCTTCCTAAGGAAATAAATGATCTTTCAGACTTACAACGTTCTCTAAGTGACTCCCGTCTTTCCCATCCCCGCAAAATCAAAAGAACTTGGAGTTGCTAGACACAGAAACACCACATTTGCTGAGAAAAGAACTTGGCTTCCAGCAGTGACTCCAAACTTACTGACTAGGGAAAGAAGTCAGGGTCAGCCAAGGGTTAGCTTTTCCCCTCTGTACCTGCACAGTTTGCCATGACCCACAATACCAGGCCAGGTCTGAGTTTGTTCCTCCTTGTCATGGATGCTGCACCTTCATTTTTCTTCTCTCCACTTCCAGCTTGATTCAAACCCTTGACTTTGTCCAGAAACTCCTCTGCTTGATCCAGGAATTCCTCCTCAGTCCAGAATCTCTGTCTCCCTTGCAGCTAGGTGGTACAGTGGATGGAGCACTGGACCTGGAGGCAGGAAGACCTGAGTTCAAATTTGACCTCAGGTACAAGCTGTGTGACCCTAGGCAAATCATGTAACCTCTGCCTGCCTCATTTTCTTCTTCTGTAAAGTAGGAAGAATACTAGTGTTTACTTCCAGGGGAGTTGTGAGGACTGAATGAGACAGTATTGGTGAAGTGCTCTGCAACCTTAAAGCACTAGATAAATTGTTGTTGCTTCTATTCTTTGCTTCCTCAGTCCCACAAAGGTTTGCACGGCTCCCTGGAAGAGATTTGCAGATTACGAGGTCTCTCTCTAGGAAACATAGAGCCCATCTGGATTAAATCCATTTGTGGTCACTTTCCTCTCTGGACATCTTTCCAGTCTCTAGAATCTGTATATAGATAGATCCCTTTTAAGGACCAAGCCCAGGTACCACTCATGAACTTCATCAATGTGGTGTCAAAGGTGCAAAGAAAACTCCTAACAAGGCAAATTCACACCAAATGCCAAAAAAAAAAAAAAGAGATGGCCTCCCTAGATAAGCAGTACCAGATGAATCTGTTTCATGGCTTGTTCAAAAATTAACCTTATGTATGCAGTTTCATACCTTGTTTGGGAGACAGGAAAGGGAAGAGGGGCATGCTCAGGCATACCAGCTACAACATTAAATTTTGTTATAACTTCCATCTACAAGCGTAATTCAAATATGCCATTAAGAACAAAACAACAGAAAACAATAAAAATTATAGTAACAAAAAGTACTTGTAAATGATTGCACATAGAACTATGACTTTAGCAGATTGCTTAGGAAAAAACCCTACCTACAATCAACCCCCAGCCCCACTTCCAAATGTGCGTATTAATTTTGACAAAATAATGAAATAATTTTGTTTATTTCAGTGAGCCTTTCTGAATTTCCTTTTTGTGTATTTCTCAGAGCTGTGCTGCTGTTATTATCTCAGTTTACATGATTGTAAACAATCAGGTCAAAGTGTGTGTGGTTCTTGTAGTTCTGTTTTCTTCATTTTTTATTCTTCATGTAAGTCATCCTATACTTGTTTTTTATACCAGTCAGTTCTTAGGAAGTATGTGATATTTTCTGCTATATTGAAAAACCATAGCTTATTCAGGTATTCCTCAATTTTTGGATACAGTGTTTATCTTTAGATTTTTGCTATCACAACTTTTCTGCCAGGAATGGGTCTGTGTATATAGAGATCATTTCTTACTGTCAATAGCTTCCTTGTACTGTCCCCATAGTAAGACTACAAAGGTCGAAGGATAGGAATAAGTTTTTGTAGCTCTTGTGGCATAATTCCATATTGCTTTCTCAAAATGCTAAACCATTTCATTACTTCATCAGTAGTGTAAAAACATGCCTGTATTGCTGTAGTCTTACCACCCCTGAATTTTCTCATTTTTAACATCTTTGCCTAATGGATGAGTATGAGGAAGTATCTTAGAACTGGTTGTTGAATTTCTCTGATGATTGAAGTTTGACTTGAATACTAAAACTTAAATACACAATACGAAAAGAAAAAGAAACATTGTGAACTTAAATATGAAAATTTCTTTATAGATTTGTGATGTCAGACATCAAAGATGTTTATTGCAAAGTTTTTTTTTCTTGGAATGATTCTTTCCTTCTTATTCTGTGTACTTTGCTTTTATTTGTGCAAAAGCTTTTTTATTTTATTTTTTTAAAGCTTTTTAAATTTTTTTAAATTAAATTAACCGGGATGCTTTGGGAGTTCTGAGAGAAGATATGTTGTATAGAGTGTGACAAGGTATACATGGAAACATTTTTTATCTAAGAGATTTTATTTGAAATCTTTTTAGAACGTATTTTATCATTTCCCTGACTTGGGAAGTAGAGGCTAGTGACTATAAGTCTTCTTTGATGATTCAGCAAGCTTAAGAATTGTGCAGAGCCTCAGGAAGGGGCTGAATGCCAAGTCTCATTGTTTGGATTGTATATACAGACAAAATAGCCCTAGATCGGCAGCCAGCAGACCTGAGCATCAGTCCCATCTCTGCCATTGGCTAGTTATGTGACCTGAATTAAGCCCTTTTCTCTCTTTGAGTTTCATTTTCTTTAGCCATAAAATGAAGGCACTCATCCAATACTCTTCTTTTATAGTAGGGGATACTAAAGCCTAGAAAGGGGGATGACTTATTTGCTGGTGGTCAAACAGCTAGTTAGTAGCAGAGCTAGGACTCCAACCCAGGTCTCCCAATTTCTAATTTAATCTCTGCTGCCATTACTTAGCTGTGTGACCTTGAGCAAATTTTAACCTCTCACTAACACTCTTACTCAGTATCTATGAAGAAAGTGCTTTGCATAGCACTTTTTTTTTTTGCCAGAGCAAATTGCTGAAAACAGCGGGTATGCATCCATTAGAGAATGGCTGAGTAAAGTGCAGGATATGAATACAATGGAATATTGCTGTTGTACGGAAAGAAATGACAAGTAGGAGAAATTAGGAGAAACATAGAAAAATTTACATAAACTGATACAGAGAGAAGTGTGACTAGTACCATTAGCTGACAATTATAACAATGGGAAAGAAAAGATCATTAAGTGGAAAGCAAATTCAGAATGACTAGGACAACATGAATGATCCTGGAGGAAAGATAATGAAATATACATCCTTCCTCTTGGCAGAATGATGGGGGACCAGGAAGGTAGAATGTTCCATGTGTAGTCAAATGATCTTTTATTTACTTAATGATTTTTCTTTTGAAATAGTTGCCACCATGTGTTGATAAATGTTTAAGGCTGGCTTTCCAGAAAAAAAAATACACATGACACACTTTTAAGTTTAATCTGCATTGTTAACATTTTTCTATAGCTTTTTTTTTTAGTTAATAGTATTTTATTAAATTCCAATTACACAGATACAGAGTAAGAGTATTAGTGAGAGGTTAAGATTTACTCAAGGTCACACAGCTAAGTAATGGCAGCAGAGATTAAGTTAGAAATTAGGAGACCTGGGTTGGAGTCCTAGCTCTGCTACTAACTAGCTGTTTGAACACCAGCAAATAAGTCATCCCCCTTTCTAGGCTTTAGTATCCCCTACTATAAAAAAAAAAGATAGTTTTCAACATTCATTTTTGTAAGATTTTGAGTTCCAAATTTTTCTTCCTCCTTCCCTCCCTGTCCCCTCCCCAAGACAGCAAACAAGCTAATATAGGTTATACATGTACAATCATGTTAAACATATTTCCACATTAATCACGTTGTGAAAGAGGAATCAGAGCAAAAGAAAAAATCATGAGAAAGGAAAAAACAAAAAACAGAAAAAAGTATAAATTGTATACTTCAATCTGCATTCAGACTCTATAATTCTTTCTCTGGATATGGATAGCATTTTCCATCCTGAGTTTCTATGACTTTCTTATGTCTGTCTTTGCTTGTGCAAAATCTAGACTGCATGTGTATCAACCCTTTTCAGTGTCTCAATTAGTACTGAAAGAGGGATAATGTCTGTCATCTCCTTAAAGGGGTCAAGACCTCTCCCCAAAATTTCTGTCCTCACCAGCATTAATCACACAAACAAGAATATGTCACTCCTTGATCATTTTTTTTTATCAGACACATGGGCATACACAAAGTGTAGGGGGGGGCACAGTTAGGAAGTAAACACTGGCCAAGGGACAGACCTAGATATTCTCTCCTATCTCTTCCTCTCCTTTTGCAGGAAGCTGATAGAAAGGTTCCTATGAGTCCCCGATATTACCGTCTTGCAACAGCAGCACACCAGACTCTCAGAAGAAGAGAAGCAGGAGAACAGGCAGCCAGAAATCAGACTCACATACTCGGCCCTGCCTGCCACTCTTCTTCCTCCACGGTGTGCAAGATGGAAGATGTTCTGATTACCTCTTCCCCTGAGACCCAACATCAAGTTAAAAAAGACTGCCGTACTGGTGAACTCTGGAACAGTCCATTTCTAGAACCTGACACCTCTCGGGGCAAGAGTCTGGGAGTCAAAGAGTTACACCTTATTACAAGGGTGGGAGGTTCAGTATGGGAAGGGGGACAATATACATAGAAATTATTGTGACATACAAACAAAAGGCATCAATGACAATTTTACAGTGCTTTGTCAAGCTTAAACTATTGGCATTTGTCTTTTAGTGGGGATAGTTTGTCTTCTTGAGAGCTGGGAGAAAAAAAATCCTTTGAGTGGAGGGATCTGGTATTTGTGGGTCATTGTTGAACACTTAGGCCAGGCCAAGTGCTATAGGGGACACATAGTCCCTGAATTCAGAGAAGCTTGAAGCCAGAGACCCATCTTATACACACTAAACAACCAGAGAACAAGTCAGGATCAGAATATCCTTCAGGGCCCAAATGTGCTGTGATTACAGAAGATTTGCTGTTAAAGAATGGAGTAGAGTAGAATTTTAGACATGTAAAGGAACTTAGGACATAAGAGTGTTGAAGCATAAAGTGCTCTAGATAAAACCATTCCTGTCAGAGATGGAAGGGATCTTAGTGATCATCTAATTCAATCCCCTAGGGCAAGTAGGGGACTAAGCCATAGAGCATGGAGCACTGGGCCTGGAGTCGGATCTTCCTGAGTTCAAATCCAGCCTCAGACACTTACTAGCTGTGACCCTGGAAAAGTCACTTAATCCTGTTTGCCTCAGTCTCTCCATCTGTGAGGTGAGCTGGAAAAGGAAATAACAAAGCACACCTGGAAACAACAAAAAATTCAACACCTTTATTTTACAAATTCGAGGAACTGAGACCTAGAGAGTTGAAGGGATTCTCTTAGGCAAGTTACAGTAAATAAATGATAGAACTGGGACTAGAACTCAGGTCATTTAGCTCAAAGTGGGTGAAATGGAGAAATTATGTTTCAATGGAAAATTCTACAAGGATCTAATCCCCCAAAGGCCTGTCTTGCCCCATGATTCTGGAAGGTAATGACTCTTATACTCCCATTCTGGAAATCCCAATTCTCATGCTTTAAAGGTTACCTCCTATTTACCCTCTATGTATCTTGTATGTACATATACATATGAAACTATTTATTTACATATTATCTCTCAACTTAAGCTCTCTGAAGGGAAGGATTCTTATGTCCTGTCTTCATATCCCCAGTGCTTAGCACAATACCTGGCTTACATTAAGTGCTTAATAAATGCTTAGTGATTGATTGAAAGTATAGAGCTTGGCATTTTTCCTTTCTGACAGTGGGAGAGCCCTTCTACCTTCCCCCATTCTAAACCTCAGCCCTCCCAGATCTCTGCTTCATCCTGGAACTGACAGTTTTCAGTTAAGGACATTTTCAACATCAAAACCCCTTCTCTTTGTAGTTGAGGGCCATGATCCTCTAGGAATTTTTTGAATGATGTAGAAGTATATGGCCAGCTGGATCCATGCCTCCCCCAGCTTCCCAGAATCTGTAGCAGGAGTATAGGGAATTTCCAGGACCACACAATTCCAGCCAGTCCCCAGTCCCTGCATCACATAAAGGCTAACCTACCACTTGAGGATCAGGCAGTGGGAATTGCTATCTCAGGTCAATAGCAAAGCTAAATTTGGGATTGACTTTTGACAACTGTTTCTTAAACCAAATTTTTTACATCTATACCTCCAAAGTCATTGATAAGGGGCCAACATGGTCTGGAGGAAAGAATACTGGGCAGAGTGTCTAAGAACTTGGTTCTAATCCTGATTTTGCCATTTAGCTGGTTGTGTTACCTAGAACAAGTCACTTAACATCTCTGAGTATCAGTTTTCTCCTCTGTAAAATGAGGGAAATTGACTGGATCAGGGGTTCTTCACCTTTTGTTGTGCCATGGACCCCTTGGGCAGTCTGGCAAAGCCTGTGGACCTCTTCTCAGAATCATATTTTAAATGCATAAAATAAAAACCATAGGATTATAGAAGAAACCATTTCTATTGAAATAAAGATGTGATTTTTTTTTCCCATTCAAGTCCACGGAACCCTCTGAAATCTATCCAGCAGGTGTGTGTGTACACTCTGTGTTAACATATAATCCCCACTGGATTACATGATCTCTAAGATTCCTTCCAGATTAAATAATGTTCTAAGAAAATGAAACCGTATAGTACAATTATAGTGACCAACCTTGGTCTTGGAAGAGGAAATCTTTCCAAGTTATTTGTCTTTACAATGTTATTATCATACAAATTGTTCTCGTGATTCTGCTTACTTCATCAGTTCATACAAGTCTTCCCAGATTTCTCGGAAACCATCCTCTTCATTTTTTAATGACACAATAGTATTTTATCACAGTCATATACTATAATTTGTTCACCCATTCCCCCAAATTATGGGCACACCATCAGTTTCCAATTCTCTGCCATCACAATTATAAGTATTTTCATTCATATGAGTTCTTTTCTCTCTTTCCCTGTTTTCTTTGGAGTATAGATTTAGCAGTGGCATTACTGGGTCAAAGGGTGTGCTGCATGGAATAGCTTGGGAGGTGGGGGTGGGACATAGTTCCAAACTGCTTTCCAGAATGGCTGGACCAATTCGCAGCTCCACCAACAATGCATTAAAGTTCCTGTTTTCCCACAGCCCCTCTGGCATTTGCCGTTTGCTTTTGTATTTATTGAGTCATATTTGACTTTTTGTGACCCCATTTAGGGTTTTCTTGGCAAAGATACTGGAGTGGTTTGCCATTGTCTTCTCTAGGAAACTGAAACAGGGTTAAGTGACTTGCCCAGGACCACACAGCTAGTAAGTATCTGAGGCTGGATTTGAACTCAAGTCTTCCTGACTCCAAGTCTAGTGCTCTCTCCACTGTGTCTCCTAGCTACCCTTCAATCAGTACTTTTCAAAAGTCCTTAGGAGCTGACCAGACTAGAGAAGGCTTTGTTTTAGTTCTGGGTCACTGCTATCGGTTTCAATTTTATCACGCTTTTTGCCATTAAGGTTGAATGTTTGACACATGTTCAAAAAGCATATAGCTAGTGAAGGCATCCCATAGGACCAGTCTATAGGCACAGCCAGCTTCTATAGGGTAAATTCAAGGGTCGCTTTTTGAAGGTCTTTTCATCTTTTCAATCTCTTTCCCATCTGTCCCTTCCCAAGGACAGAGACTTTTCATCCATAGACTCAGAATTATACAATATTTAAGCCTAAAGAATGGACTCTTAGAAACATAGAACTTAGAATGTCAAAGCAAGAAGGAACCTTGATTTATAGAATGTTAGAATATAGAATGAATGTCAGAGATGGAAGACACTTAAAACATAGCATGTTAAGTCATAACCATTAGATTTTTCAGCATGTAAAGGGATTTGAGAGCACAGGACCTAGAATGTCAGAGCTATAAGAAACCTCAAAGACCACCTAGTTCAGCTTTGTCATTTTACATTGAAAACTGTGGTTCAGAAATGGGAATTACTTGCTCAAGAATGCAAATTTCTCAAGAAAAGGAGCTCTGAGACTGATGGTCATTGAACAGGAAGGGATTAAAAGTCAGAACCTTACTCAGGACAGATTTTGAGAGGGTAAGGAGGGAAATAAACTATTAGGTGGCTGAAGTGAGCCAGGCCTAGTGTGCTGGGATGAAGTGAAATAACTTACCCAAAGTCACACATCTTTTAAGTGGCAAAGTCAGAATTGAAACCCAAGTCACTTACCTCTAAACCCATACCTGCTTCCTTTACACCAGATGACTTCCTCCGACTACGGTAAGATTGGTGCAGCTCCAACCTAGGCTCTTAGGAGGAAGGAAAAGCCTCAGGGTGGGGTATATTTGGGGAGGAGCAATGGAGTGCTAAGGGTTTTTAGGCATTGATGACAGGCCATTGGGGAAGGCTGGTGGGGTTTTCCTGTTTATCCCTCAAATGATAAAAGCTCACATTTATGTTTTCCCCACCACAATTCTGTGAAGTTAGTATTATCATGTTTTTTAAAAGGGAGGCATGGGGGCAGCTAGGTAGCACAGTGAATAGAGCACCAGCCCTGGAGTCAGGAGGACCTGAGTTCAAATCCAGCCTCAGACCAAACACTTAACACTTACTAGTTGTGTGACCCTGGGCAAGTCTTAACCTCAATTGCTTAAAAAAAAAAAGGGAGGCAATGGAGTATCCTAGAGGAGGAGCTGGGACTTCAAGCCAGACCTTCAGGCTCTAGGTCTAGTGGTCCTGGCGATGTGCCATACTGCTTCTCCACATCATATTGGATATCTATTAGAAACTTAGGTTTCAAGCTGGCCTTGGCCCAGAGCACAAGCCTGGGGTCCCAGGCATTGCACTCCTTGTAGGTTAGGGAGTTCTTTTCATCAGAGAGCTGAGAAGGGGCAGGTCTGTTGCTGTTCATCCTTTGTTCCCAAGAGGACCAATGATGTCATTAAGTGAGTCAGAGCTACACAAAGAGTCTCTCCTCCAGAGTCATCAATGTCCGTTGGCTAGACAAAAGTCAAGATGACTGATCATAGCCTAGGATGGAGTGGGTGATCTTGGCCTTTCTAAAATTAAGGGCTTTCCCAGGCCTCAGTTTGTCTGAGGCAATGCCCACTTAATGACTAAGAACTGAGGCAAAATATGGCCTAATTTACCATCGCAAAAAGATCAGCCTAGAAGGGGAAGGTCTTCAAAGTTTCTGGCCAGAACAGAAAACAATTGCTGTTTACACTCATTCTAAGCCATCAAAACTTAAACAATAGTATAGCAGATAGTGTTTCACAGTAGATTATAGAATCATTGGCTTAAAGCTAAAAGAGACTTTAGAAGTAAGAGAAAGGAGAAACACTCAGGCAGAGAGCAGGAATTAACTTAGGGAGGGTTGGGTTAACAAGTGTGTCTGGGTAAGCAGAGTAAGTATGTGAGTATGTTTGCATTTGGGCAGCTAGGCCATACAGTACATAAATTGCTGGGCCTGGAGTCAGGAAGACTCATCTTTCTGAGTTCAAATCTGGCTTCAGATACTTACTAGCTGTGTGACCCTGGGCAAGTCATTCACCCCTGTTTGCCTCAGTTTCCTCATCTGTCACATGTGCTAGAGAAGGGCCACTTCAGTATCTTTGCCAAGAAAACCCCAAATGGGGTCAGACATAACTGAAAAACAAGTGAACAGCAAATTTTCTGCATGTATGAGAAGGTATTGCTTTGTGGGAACCAGGAACTTGTCTGAAGGGAACTATAGATTATGGGGTATTTGGGGAAAGTGGTGCAGAGGAGCTGATTGAACAAGTTAGTCACTCCAAGGGATGGAAGTTCTTTATTTCATTTCTTTACTAATCTGTAATTTCTCTGGCGTGGTGTTCCTTCTAACCAGTGCTTTCTATGACATCTCCATTGTCCCTCATTTTCTCCCTGTCACTTAGCACATGGCCTCAGAGGGTTGCTACAACTGAAAAATTCATCACACTTCAGCCAACCTGCTGGTGAATCCCTCTGCCCTCAAACATCAACCCAGTCATCAAGCCCATACTGCTACTATGTGAGAATGTGGGGCATCAATTATCATAGCTGGAAGGGATGGAGAAAGGGTCTGTGCTGTTTTCTCTGGAGCTGGGAGAAGCAGATGGTGAGAATCTAAAAAGTTCCCCATTTCCCTGACAGAATCAAAGGAATGCTAAATCAGGCATGAAACATATAGGGGAAGGCCAGACTTTACATCAGGAGGAGAAATTGTACGTGGAAGGGGTAAGCAGTAAGAACATTTACAAAAATTGATTTATTGTTGACATAATTTCCCATCATTTCTGCCCTGAGCTGATTAGCTTTGAAGCCTCCAGCCTCTGTTCAGACCCTGCAAAAGATCATAGAATCATATATTTAAAGCTAGAAGGGATCTTAAAGGCCACCCCATAATTTTCAGATGAGGAAACCAAGGCCTCCCAAAATGAAGTGACTTGTTCCAGATCATAGAAGTAGTAAATGAGAGAGGTGGAATATGAACCAGAGTCCTCTGATTCCCAATCTCATGTTCTTTCTACTGTAATACAAAGGGAGTGGCACTTCAAACACATTCCTTACAATTTAGTTGGTTTTGTTTTTGGAGGCAATCAGGGTTAGGTGACTTGCTCAGGATCACACAGCTAGTAAGTGTCTGAGGTCATATTTGAACTCAGATCTTCCTGACCCCAGGGCTGGTGCTGTATTCATTACACCACCTAGCTGCCCCACATCACTCACAATTTAGGACACCTTTATCCAGAAAAGAACTCTGACTTCCAAGAACCAGTTCTTAATTGGTTTGACGTATCTGTAGGGAAAGTCAAAAGCTTATCCTACCACCATTGTTCTTCCTCTTCCACACATCTCAGGAAGAGGAATCTGTAACCATGAGTTCTAGTTCCTGCACTATCACCAACATACTCTGTGGCCTTGGACAAATCATTTCTCCTCTCTGGGTCTGTTTCTTAATTGAGAAGGGAGAGTTGGAGTAGACAAGGTTCCTCCTAGTTTTTAATCCTATGATCCCATGACTATTAGATGATGAGATTATTTCACAAGTAGAACTTAATCATTTGGACAAACTTTACCTCTTTCAAAACAAAGTGCTTTATAAATGCTAAACACCTACAAATATGAGCTATTATTGTTATTCAGAGTTGAATTATAGAATTAAAGAGTCATAGGATGTTAGAATATGGAAAGGACTTGAGAACATGGAAAGTCAAAGCTGGAAGGAACCAGAGGACAGAGAATGTGGAAAGGACTTGACAACATAAAATGTCAGAATTAGAAGGGAGCTAGAAGGGACCTCAGGGATAGTTGAATCCAATCCCGCTTATTTTACAACTGATTGGGAACTGGTTCTTTGAAGACAGAATTGTCTCCTGGTTAGGAGTACCCTGAATGTGGAAGGATGTGCATGGAGTGCCATGCCATGGTGGTTTACTAGAAAAAAGCTTAAAGTCACATATCAAGTTAGCAACATCCCTAGCCCTCAAGACCCACTCTTCCAATTCCAAGTCTAATGTTCTTCCAATACCTTTGAAGACTGAATCCTTATTCCCAACAATGCCCCCATTTCTCAGAACTTTCCTGGGGATTCTTCTTTTGGAATGACCTTCAGAGCATCAGGCTCTTTAGATCTCCCTTCCCCTCCCCTCTTCATCCTTTATCTTCTGAGGGGGTATTTAATTTTCAGAAATAGTCAGGTATCACAGCCAAATCTGAAGAAGACTATAGAATTTAAGAAGCTAAATAAGATGATCTCTAAATTCTTTCCAGTTCAGATATTCCATAAGTTGGTGAATTCGTTACTGTACTGAATCATCCTGATTTTATGAAAAGAGAAGTTATGAATAACAAATACATCTAGAGCATCCTTTATGAGGGTATTCAAAGAGAATCACCAAGTTATGAATAACAAATACATCTAGAGCATCCTTTATGAGGGTATTCAAAGAGAATCACCCCCAATCAATTCCACGTTTGCTATTATACAATTGGCTGAGAGACTCAGAGAAGGGAAGAATCCACTGTTTTTATTTTTCGTTAACTATGAAAAAAATACTTGATTTGGTAGAGCAAAAAGGAATGTTAAACGTTTTCCTCCCATAAAACGTCTCCCATGCATACGTCAAAAGTATACAAGATTGCTTGAAAGAGATAACAGTGGAGATCACCAAATGAGTTCACCATTTTAATGGCACAGGAATCTAAGTTAAGGAGGGATTCCTAGTAGATGGTGAGGTCAGAACAATCTACCTGTTTGAAGATGATGTATTAGTTGCATCAAGCCCCAGCAGTTTGCAAAGGCTCCTCAATGAAATTGGTATGCACTCTAAAGAGTTTGATCTAATTGTCCACACAGAATGAAAACTTCTTGTCTAGATTAACGGTTTTTGAAATATTGTCTGTGAACCCTGAGACACTTTTGGGGAGTCTGAGAGGTCAAAACTATTTTCATAATAAATATTAAATTTATTTTAATTGCCTATTAAAATACTCCTTTCATAATAATAGCTAGTATTTATATAGTGCTCTGAGGTTTGCAAAGTGCTTTACAAACATGTCATTTTATCCTTACCACAACACTGAGAGGCAGTAACTATTATTGGCTCTATTTCATAATAAAACTAAGGCTAAGAGACATTAAATGATTTTCTCAGGGTCACACAGCCAGTAAGTGCATGAGGTTAAATCTGAACCCAGGTCTTCCTGACTCCACATCCAGTGCTCTATATACACATATATCTGTGTGAGGCCAGATTTTTTTCATATATTTCAACAAAAACAGTATATTGCAACAGAATGAATACAGAAACACATATGAAAATCTACCTATCTCCTATCCAGATTAAATTACAGAGATTTTCAAAAATATGTAAAACTCTTCAAATTTTTTTTGTTTTGGAAATATAGCTATTTTTCATGAATATGTTGTTTATTGTTGTTTTAATGAATTAATAAATATGTATTTTTAAATTTTATCAAGGAGCAGATAGATGACACAGTGGATAGAGTTCCAACCCTGGAGACAGGAGGATCTGAGTTCCAATGTGACCTCAGATACTTGACACTTACTAGCTGTGTGACCCTGGCCAAGTCACTTAACCCTAATTGCCCCCCCCAAATGTTATCCATTTCAGTTTCTAATATGGTAAATACTGGTAGCTATAACCCACATAAACAAAAGCTCTTTAGCATCCTCAATCATTTTTCAGTCTCTATTTGGCATCTTCTCAAAAATGTTTTCTCTTAGAGAGTTGCCTAGAGAATTTAGAAGTTAGGTGATTTGCCCAGACTCACACAGATTTTATCAGTCAGAGATGGGATGCAACTGAGTCCTATTGACTTAGAGACCAGCTCTCTCTTCACTTGCTGGAACAGAGACTGCAAATGGATAAGAATTGAACAGGAAAAAGAAAGTAGAATCAATAGCCTTTGGAAATTGCAAGATTCCTTTAATGATCCCAAGTTTATCTCTAGAACATCTTTTTTTTTAAACCAATAAGATTCTTCTGATGATGTTATAGGTCTATAAGTGATAAAAACTATGATCTCCAAAAAATTGAAGTTGAAGATTATTCCAAAGGCAAAAGAGAGATGCAAGGTAGTGGTGAATAGGCTAGAACATAATAAAAACAAGAACATCCACAGGACAAGCAGGATATCATTAAAGATACGCTGGAACAAAAAAGGAGATGGGAAGGTTGCCTGTAATGAGAGTGAGGAAAAGCTGGCAGGCAGGATTCGTGCTCCATTGGTGTGCTTTCCATATTAAGAGAAATTGATGGAAGCCTGCACACAGCATATGGGAAGGAATGTTGATAGACAGATAGATAGATAGATAAATAGATAGATAATTTCACATCAGTAATATTATGGAACCACTAGAGCAGTTGGTGTATTGAGCTACCTCCAAATAGATTATTTCTTAAATCTTTTCTTCTCCAGGCTAACCAATGTAAACTTCTGAAAATAGGAGGATTGGTTGTTGTTGGTGTTGTTGTCGTTGTTGTGCTGTTATTAGTAGTGGTGGTGGTTTGGGTTGGTTTTTTTTTTAATTCTCAGTACCTTGGACAGTGACTTAAATCTAGTAGGTGCTTAATAAAAGTTGCTTGCATTAGATTGAATTGACTCTTCACAACTGTAGTATAGCATACTCTCCAGTCTCTTCATCAGCCTGGTTACTCTCCTCTGGTTTCATTCTAGCTCATCAATATCCTTTGTAAAATATGGCAGCCAAAATAAAGCGTCCTACTACAGACAGCAGGGCTATTGCTTCCCTCGGAATGAGCTGAGATGGAGGCTAGGCTTCTTTTCTGTGCCTATTTTTATTTGTTCTGAATTTAAACACCAATTCAAATGACCACTTCCGTATACATAGTAGAATAGAAAGAGAAGGTTGAACATGAAACCACGAATCTGTTATATACAGTTTCCTTTTCTTTTTAAGCACATGATAAATTCAACGTGTTGCTTTCAAAGCTGCCTTGCTTTTCTGTTATTCATTCTGGCATGCCTTCTGTTCTCTTTGGTACCTTTCAAAATCATTTTGATGACTTGCTTTTCTTCTTTCCTCCCTTCTTTTCTTTTTTTCTTTCTTTTTAGGCTCCTCCCCACCCCCCATGAGAAAAAAGAAAAATAAGACCCAAATTCCAGACTTTGGTTCACACAGCCTAATTTTGCACAGAAAGACACTTGAAACCAAGGGCACTGGGTTGGAGTGAAAAGTGACTTAAAGTCTCACAGTAAGATAATGACAAAGCAGGGCCTTAAATTCAGCATTCCTATTTCCCTGAGCCCAGGTACCCCCAGGCACCACCTCCCACATTTTTCTCTTATACTACTTCCTTCAGTCTCTGGCTTCCTTCCCCCTCCTGTTTGAAAGTGTCTTTACAAAAACCCCTTTCCTCTTTCAACAGACTTTCACAACCACTTACAATTTCCAGGTTCACAACTGGTTTGACACTGATGACATTTGAGGTCATTCACTTCCTGCAGGCATCCAAGGAAACCGTATCATTGGTGTAGGGGGTACATGTTGGTGGGGGGATGTCGTAAAAAGGTTTCTTATGAAAAGTGGGTGTATTTTTAGACCTTGACTCTGTCCTTTCTCTGACCCTAGAGCCCTATCCTCTACTAACCTTTTCTCATGTCATCTATGCCAGGGTTCAGTTTTCTGTCACCTACCTTTTCCTCCTTCC